TCAGCCAACGGGCCTGTGTATTTTCCCTCAATCAAGTACAGCTGTGGTGCACATACAGCCTAAGAAGACAGTTGGGATTAACCAGAATGTGTTTTAGACAAGCAAGGAAAAAAGAAAAAGGAAACTGAGGATATGTGCCACAGAGTGGTTATAATCACTGAGCAAGGAATTTAAGGTTAGTAAAAGAGGAAGTGAGGAACAGTAAAAATGAAGCAAGATCAAGTTGTCAGCGGTGGAGCAGGGCAGCAAAAGAGCCCAGGCAACAGCAGGCAGCGGGAGACTGGGATCGCTGAGTATGAGGAGTTGTGATGCCCGTCGTTCCAGAGTATGACCACGGGGGTGAGTGGTTGAAGTAGGGTGGAAGACAAGAGGTGAAGAAATGGAGGGCAAGATTTGAAGAATTATCTAGATGGAAATAAGAAGAAACAGCCCATGGATTATTAGATAACTAAAACAAGGAAGAGAAGCGACTGACAGAATATAATAACGTGAGGTTTGAAGGCGAGGGTTTTAGGGAGGAGGGAGAGAGAATGGTTTGGAAGCAATAAGGAACAACAGAAACATTCACCCATCTATCATCAATGTTACAAGGAAAATGGAAGAGAAGAACCATCATCTGAGAAGCCTGTAGGGCAAGCCAAGCTTCAGCTAGATCAGGAAAATAATACACTCCAAGAATAGGCTGAGATTTTAGGGGATTTAGATGAAACTGTCCTCAGTTTCTGCATCTGTCCACTGGGGATAATCATAATGAGGCGTGTACCTCATAGTACTAATGTGAGGATTATGTTCAAGGACATAAGGAAGGCAATTAGAGAGATCTTAAAATGTGCACCTACCACACAGTCTGCACTAAAAAAAATGTTAGTTATTCCTACAGGCTATTTTCTCTCCTGCATAATCATTTTGATTCTTCTAAGAATCTTTTACTTTCACTTAACATTTGAATAATATTAAAAAGTTTTTTTAATTTTTTTTAACATTTATTTATTATTGAGACACAGAGAGACACAGAGCATGAGCAGGGGAGGGGTAGAGAGAGGGGGAAACACAGAATCTGAAGTAGGCTCCAGGCTCTGAGCTGTCAACACAGAGCCCGATGTGGGGCTCGAACTCACAAACTGTGAGATCATGACCCGA